TCCTAACATTTTACCTTGATGGTGTTGCATTGGTTTGAATCACTTTCATAGATTAAACAGTTACCATTAAAGTTATCCTAAGTTTTATGTTATTAAATCTCCACATATGTTCTGCTATCTGAATGAAGAAAATCAATGAAAAGGAAAGGACATGACTGCTCCTAGGTGTGGTGGAGGAGAAAGTTTATTGCATATAAAAAGGGAGAATGGAGGTAGAGGCAGGGACAGGGACATCTGGGAGAGTCCAGAGTGGACATGGCCACACTGAGCTGTGGGGAGAGGGGGAGGGGAAGGGAGAAGGGCGAGAGGGAACCAGGTACAAAAGGGGGTGGCTAACCAATTGTCTGTTCATAAAAGGGAAGGGTGGCCCAGACCATAAGCTGGAGAGGTCATGGTAGAGGACAGGGCAGCCAGCCAGACCCTGTGACAGGTAGGGAATGAGAGATACTGGAGACCCTGCCAGCCAGGTCCACTTTGCTATGTGAATAAACATTTCAGCCATTTGTTCCAGGTTTGAAACTTAACACTACCATCTAGGAGTTTGTATCTTAACTATTCATTTGCTTTCTTGTATTTTATTTATACTTTTGCTATTAGAGAAGTATTTTATAGCTGAAATTATCTAAAACTTTAAGGATCTTTACAGAGTTTTTGTTTGGTTTGTTTTGTTTTGGGGGGACAAGGTTTCTCTGTGAGGTAGCTCTGGCTGTCTGTCCTAGAACTCTCTTTAGAGACCAGGATGGCCTTGAACTGTTCACAGAGAACTGCCTGCCTCTGCCTCCCCAGTGCTGGGATCAAAGGTGTGCACCATTACCACCTGTCTGACTTGAGAAGTTCTTGTGATTGACATCTCTTACAACTTCAAGTGCTCCTGTTCCCTGTGTAGCCTCATTACTTCTTCCTGAGCCCTGTGAGCTCAGCATTTGGCTTCGGTCACAGTGTTGTCCACAGTCATTAAAGCTTGAGCACAAGCTGCCTTTAGCATGTTTGCTGTTTCTCCATACATACTGTCACTCTGAACATGCACAGCAGTCTGAAGGTGGTTTGGCTAGAAGGTAGAAACTCCTCTGGAATATCCTTTCTACATATTTTACTGTGTATAATGTATTAAACATTTGGGAAATCATTTTGACCATTTTCCTCCCATAGGAACCTCCAGAAGTTTAGTCTGTTTGGAGATGTGAGTGTTGTCCAGCAGCAAGGAAGTTTATCCAGCACAGACCTCAGCAGGTAGACCCTGACTGCAAGAAGATTAAGCAGTAAGTACACAGTGACTCTACAGGGGCATGTGTTAATAGTGAGTCTAGCTTTTGACTGAAAACTCATGAGACACAATCAAGAACAATGATCTTAGTTTTCTTTAAAAAAAAAAATATGGAGGTAACCTATAGGTGAATACAGTTAAGAGATTGGATGAATCTCAGAAACAATTTTGGACTTTAAAACATTGTTGAGACACTGATAGACTATGGGGACTTTTAGAGTTGGACTAAATGCATTTTGTATTATGATATTGTTACAACCTTATGGGGGCTAGTGAGTAGAGTGTGGTAGTTTGAATGTAACTGGCCCCCATAATTTCACAGGGAGTGAAACTGGTAGGTGGTGTGGCTTTTTGGAGTTGGAGTGGGTATGGCCTTGTTGGAGGCAGTGTGTCACTGTGGGGGCAGGCTTTGAGGTTTCCTATGCTCAGGAAACCACCCAGTATTTCAGTAGACTTCCTGTTGTTTGCAAGATGTAGGACTCTGAGCTGTTCTTCCAGCACCACATCTGACTGTATGCCACCATGCTCCCTGCCACCATGGTAATGGACTGAACATCTGAAATTGCAAGTGAGCCACTCCAAATACGTGTTTCCTTTATAAGAGTTTCTGTGGTCATCGTGTCTCTTCACAGCAATAAAAACCCTAACTAGACACCATCCTACCACAGGACACTTGGTCAACTATGTTCTAGCAGCTTTATTCGTAACAGCCAGACACTGGAAACAATCCAGATGTCCCTCATCCTTTAATGGATAAATAAATGTGGTGCATTTACACAATGGAGTGTCACTCGGCTGCTCAAAAAAAAAAAAATCTGAAATTTTTAGGTAAATAAATGAAATTAGAAAAAAAAAATCATCCAGAGTGAGGTATCACAGACCCCAGAAAAACAAACATGATATATACCCACTTATAAGTGGGTATTAGTTATCAAGAATAAGATAATCATGCTACAATCCAGAGAGGCTAAGAGACAAGGAGAGTGGAGGGGAGGATATGCATATATCTCCCTAGGAAGAGGAAATACAATAGTGAGTGAGTGGACTGGGGGCAGATGGGAGTGGAAACAGGAGGGATCAGTTGAGGGTGGAGGATAGGGAGTGAGAGTACTGGGAGAGATGAGTGGAATGGGGGGGGGGGCATTTCAGGGATGAGATAGAAACCTATTGCAATAAAAACTCCCAGCAATCTACAAGGGTGACCCCAGCTAAGACTGGTATTAGGGGATCCACACTCTGAACCTGCCATATTCTATAACCAGGTGAGGCTTCCAATAGAGAGACTGAGAGACCAACTCATTAACAAAACCTTCAACTTACAAGTAGTCATGGCTGCAAAAATATGGTGGGGTAAAAGTGGCTTATAACTTGTGGGAGTGACCAACTGTGATGGTTTTAAAGAAAATGGTTCCCAAAGGGAGTGGCACTACTAGGAGATATTGCCTTGTTGGAGGAAGTGTGTCACTGTGGGGGAGGGGAGAGAGGGAGAACTAGGGTTTATATGTAAAATGAAAAAAAAAATTAATGTTTATGGGTCTATGTAAATATATGATATGACCTAAATACATGAATCTATATTCAAAAAGATATTGGAAAGCCAGAAGGGACCATCACCTGAAGCGATGTAAACATTACCTCCTAACAGATGCTTTCCATTGTTTCAACCATTGTCTACCTTTCTGCAAGGATTATACATTGCTTTTCTTTATTTTTAAAAATTAGGCAGAGAAGATTACACATATAACCTATAATTACACACTCTTACTGGTCAACAGTAATGCCCAATTCAATTTCTTGAGCTTTAACCTGTCCCATTATCACTTCAAGTAGCCTAAGTATAAAGGTAACTAAATGTGTTACTGCTTCAGGCTCTTGTCTTGATGCTAAGAACAAACTATGACTGAGCCAGAAACTGGGTCACTAGGATTCACAGACAAGGAAACCTAAATTTTGTATGTGATTATTACGGGCCTGAATTAGCACTTAAATTATACATTTGATTTCTTCAATTGCAAATCTTAGGTCAGATATGGAACAATTATGCATGTTTGTATGCACAATAAAATTCATAGCATACTGGAAGTATAAATTGCTAACAGAAAGTAAGATCCTGACCAGGGAGACAAAGAAGAAAAGTGGGTTTAAACAGAGATTTAATGATGTCAAGAATACAAATGTTTCAATATAAAACTTGACTATAGATCGTAACTTCTTTCTTCACAGGAACAATACATAAACTGACAAATTTGCTGAACCAAGTAATAAAATGGAAGGAGTAGAATTTCATGTTGTAAAAATCTAGAATAAGAACAGGGAAAACAGTGAATTCAATGAAAAGCTTTTCTTTCTGTGTAGAGCAGAAATACCTCCTGACCATTGTTCCCAATGATGCTCAGGAAACATTCCAGTTACAATCACACCACTGTGCTTCAGTCCCTTAACACTGAAGAAAAAACCCAACTTAACAGGCTAAACACACTTATAGGAAATTCATTGGTTGGGTCTCACTCTCCATTCCTATCAGTGTGCAAGACCAAGAACAGGAACACTAGTCTGAAGACACTTGAACTCCCTTCCTTAAAAAGAGGGGCCTTGTGATGGTTACACTGTGGCAACTCTCAACACAGCCCACAGAACACAATCAACATCTTACAAGTTAACTATAAAATGTCAGGCTTGGTAGTGCTCTTAATCCCAGCACTCCATGGGCAGAAACAGGAATACTTCCAAATTCAAGGCCAACTTGGTCAACACAGCAAGTTCCAGGACAACCAGGGCTACACACAGAAACCGAGTGTCTAAGAAAGAAACAAACAAAATCAAAAAATAAAGTGAGAGAAAGAGAAATTATGTAAGAAAACCACTCAGTAGGACTGGCAGGATACAGAGGAAAGTGCTCACTGTGTGATCCTGAGAACTTGAGCTGTCTCCAGAACCCAATGTAGAAAGATAATCTTCCAGCTGTCCTCTGATCACCATACATCCTGCACGAGAGTGGGCTTGTGTGTGCCTGCTGTTGTGTGTGCGCTCTCTCTCTCTCTCTCTCTCTTCTCTCCCTCTCTCTCTCTCTCTTTGTCTGTCTCTGTGTGTGCGTGTGCGTGTGCGTGTGCGTGTGCGTGTGTGTGTGTGTGTGTGTGTGTGTGTGTGTCCAGTGAAATAAGTTTAAACAATTCTGAAATTCATCATTAGACAACATCCCCACTTTCTTTAAAATTTAATCCATATTTAAATTTTTAAATTTTATTACTTTGAGTCATTCATATCTAACTCTTAAGAAGTAGGATACATATTTTGCAAGATAATTAAATCAGAAAACCCACAATGCATTACCTTTTTCTATAATGTATATATGCAGATGTTTTGTCTACATGCATGCCTGTGCACTACACACGCCTGTGCATTAATCCATTCCTGCTGCACCACATGCATACCTTGCACACTACATGCATCCCTGGTGTTCTGAATGCATGTCTGTGCACTACATGTATGTATATCTTTGCACTACATGCATGCGTGTGTACTACATGCATTCCTAGTACACTTGGAAGCTGAAGAGGCCATTGGATTCTCCAAAGCTGGAACTGCCATGTGGATGCTGGGAACCAAGCCCAGTCCTCTGTTCTGCATGAGCACCCTGACTTAACCACTGAGCCACCATCTCTCCAACCCCAGACACTTCCCTTTTGAACCACTGAATTATTGGTACAGGTAAAAAGACTAAATTATGGAGCCATGCTTATGTGAAACTGGCTGGTTTTATTATTATCAATGCCAAACAAGACTTTAATTGAATTAAAATTTATTTGATTAAACAGTTACCTTTACATTTGTCTACACCATGGTGAACATATTCCTGGTAGAAACACACAGCCTTTTAGGTTTAAGATATCCCCAACTCTAAGATTACATGTATAAAACTACCATAATTATGGATGAGGTAATCAAAGTAAAATATACTATCCAGAATGAAATAAAATGGAAATAATTTACTCATAAAATTCATATTTAAATCTTTATTTACAAAATACTATCCTGAGAATTATAATTCCATTAAGCTTCAATTTGAGCAACAATGTAATCACATAAGTAACAGCAGTTACTTAAAAAGAAAAGGAGAAGAAATGACTCCGAGGAAACTGTCAGGTCTCCTGTGTTTCTGGAGGTTCAGGTGCAGGTTGTTTGGAAGGAGGAATCAAGTCTGGGGGCAGCTCATTTCTACTTTCAGGATGTGGGGGTGGGGGGAAGAACCCAGCTCTTGGGGGAAGGTAAGGTGGAAAGCCCCTCGGTTCGTACACATTTCTCCCTGTTCGAAGAGATGGATAAAGGACAGTGAAACCCCATACTGCACACTTGTTAAACCACTAGCTCCAGCCGCTATTCTGATGTCCAAACACTCACAACACAATATTTAATCTCACAAATAAATCTTGACATTGAAAACTGTACTTCTTAACTACATAGGATTAGTAAGAACATCACCATCAGATTCAGCTGTGTTTGTCCTATCTTGGCAGATACCCAAGATCCCAATACACTCAAGACTTACTGTAAAACAGCTTTTTAACGAAGTAAAATTTTCAACTTCACATTCAGATCAGTGATCCTGACCTGATATCCTACTGAAAACATTTCCTGTAATGTCAAGGATGACCTTAAAACGTCCCAAACAAAACTCATTTCATTCCTCTAGAAGATTAAGAGTAGAGGTGAGGGCAGAGAGCAGACACCTAGGACAAGCTGGTTCTTTCTAGTACTTGAATCATGATTTACTGTGTAGAAACTTGTGATTCTAAAGGGTAAAGTATGCTATAAAGGCAATAAATTACTTTTATTCTAAAATGTAAGGGTATGAAGGAATTTCAATAAATTCAACAAATAACTAAATTTGATCTTAGATTTTAAATATGATCATGTGGGAACTACTATTTATGAAAAATACCTTAAAACACTTTAGTCAGTAATCTTAAGACAAAAATATACGCAATTACTTTAAATAATGGCCGAAATACATTTCTATCAAATGAAATACACATAATTTTAATCTTAAAACTTCTTGTAGCTGTGCATTGGTGGCACACACTTTCAATCCCAGCACTTGGAAAGTAGACAGGTGGATCCCTGTGAGTTCAAGGTTAGCCTGGTCTACAGAGTAATAGTTCCAGGACAGGCTCCAAAGCTATAGAGAAACCCTGCCTTGAGGAAAAAACAAAACAAAACAAAACAAAAACAAAAAACAAGAAAGAGACCCGTTTGTAATCTTACTGATTTTCCGACCTATCACAATACAGTTAAAATTCAAAACTACCTAAGGTAGATCAAGGTGAAGCCTTGGCCTCCTTTGTTGCTGGACTGTAACCTGTGAGCCATATAAACTCTTTCCTCCTCAAGTTGGTTCTGACCAGTGTTTATCACAGTAACAAGAAAAGCACAGATAAATGTTGACACATACATGGACTTTTTAAAAAAGCCTACCTGGGAATGGCGGGAAGGGCGGGCCAGCAAAGTCCCTTGGTGGAAAATAGTCTGGAGGACCTGCATAGATGTTTCCTGGAGGAGGTGGTGGGAATGGGGGAGGCCCTCTCATAATGGGTCTTCTTGGATCCCCTGCAAAGGGAGGGCCTCTGGGGCCTCTAAACAGGGGAACTGGTGGAGGGATGAAGCCAGGGCCAGCTGTCTCACATTCAGCAGGAGGAGAGTTGGGCACAGTTGAGTTCTGTAAGAGAGTGACAACCAGCAGTCAGTAAAGCTGCTTGATGCCCAGCTCCTTTCCTGGGATTGTGAGGCATAGAAGAAACAGTCCATGACATTACACAAGGCCTGGGAACAGGCTCAGTTTCCACACCTGTGTAGGAGCCCCTTACATGCTCTCTGAAGTATTTTTACTAACTCAGCAATAAACTTTAAGCTTGGTACTACTAATAGTCTACCTGGCTCTCCCTAAAACACTAGTACAGATTCATACAACAAGGACATCTGTTCAATGATGTTCATAGCAGCACTATTTGTAATAGCTAGAAACTGGAAGCAGCCTAGATGCCCCTCAACTGAAGAATGGATAGAGAAAATGTGGTACATTTACACAATGGAGTACTATTCAGCAGGAAAAAATAAACAATGGAATCTTGAAATTTGCAGGAAAATGGATGGAACTAGAAGAAACCATTCTGAGTGAGGTAACCCAATCACAAAAAGACAAACATGGTATGTACTCACTCATATGTGGATTTTAGACATAGAGTAAAGGATTACCAGCCTACACTCCACACTGCCAGAGAAGCTAGTAAACAAGGAGGACCCTAAGAAAGACATACAAGGTCCCCTGGAGAAGGGGAAAGGATCAAGATCACCTGAGTAAACTGAGAGCAAGGGAAGAGGAGGGAGCTAGGAGAATGAGAAGGGAAGAAGAGGAGGGATGCAGAGGACATGAGGGAGCAGAAAGGTTGAGTCAGGGGAAGATTAGAAGATAACAAGAATGGAGATACCATAATAGAGGAAGACATAATAGAGGTTTACAGAGATATCAGGCACTAGGGAAATGTCTAGAGATCTACAAGATGACACCAGCTAACAATCTAAGCAACAGGGGAGAGGCTACCTTAAATGCCCTCCCCTGATAATGAGACTGATATGCCACCCAATAGCCCTCATCCAGTAGCTGGTGGAAGTAGAAGCACCACAACTTATCACTGAACTGAACTGGAACCCAGATGCAGAGAAGGAAGAGTGAAGAGCAAAGGGGTCCAGACCAGGCTGGTGAAACAAATGACCTGAACATCGGGGAACTCTTGCTCCCCAGACTAATAGCAGGGATACCAGCATGGGACTGATCCAGACCCCAGGAATATGGGTTTCATTGAGGAAACCTGGGAAATCTACAGGACCTCCTGTAGTAGATCAGTACTTATCCCTAGCATAGGTGTGAACTTTGGGAGCCCATTCCACATAGAGGAATACTCCCTGAGCCAAGACACACAGGGGTGGGTACATGGGTAGAATTTACTTTCCAATACTTACCCCAGGGTCACCTTTGGTATCATTCTTCCTGGATTCCAATTTTGAGGACCCTGGCCCATCTAGACAAAGAAATTAAACCAGTAAAAATTCATGAATTCTTACTTTATTCCCTGACCGTTTGCAGATCCAAATACACTGACATTTTCCACTCCCCTTGCTTGGACAGGGAACAACTTGACACAAATACACTAACATTCCATATTAGGATCCCCAAAGCAGCCTGAGACCTGTAGAAATTTCAACAGAACAGACATTCTTTTGCAGTGTGCTGGTCACCTTTCCAGCTGGTTCCCAGGCCTTCTTGCTGCAGTAGCCAAAGTGAACGACTCAGGATGTAGCATCCACTTCCTGTCTTTTCTGTGTGCTCTCTTTTCCCTCAGCACATAATACATACTTTCATGAAAGTACCCTTATAGATAACTCAACAAATACATAGTGAAAGTAAAATTTTGGAATTTTATTTATTCTCCATGTTATTTACTTTAATAGGTATAATAGATACACATATTTCCCAGCTTCAGTGGGTAGTGAGTGATACTTGAATGGATTCTGACAAAGTCAATCTACTACTCATGAAATGATTAAATAAGATAACTAAGAACAAGAACCCAAATTATTTTGCTGGTAGTCCATTGACATTTGCCTGCCTAATATCCTTGACTACATATAAATGGATTAAAAACAATGAGAAGTTAGCTATGGGACAGAGTAAAGTTAGTATGGTACCAAAACTAACCTTCACCACATATATTAGATGACACACCTGAAATATGAGACAACAAGAAACGGCTGGAGAGATGGTTCAGTGCTTAGGAGTACTGGCTGCTCCTTCATAGGACCTGTACTTATCTCAACAACCACACAGCAGCTCACAACCATCTGTAACTCCACTTCCAGGGGCTCTGATGCCCTGTTCCAGCCTTCTCAGGCATCAGGCATGCATGGGATACACAGAAATAACACTTTAGAGATTCTAGAGTCATGGGATATCTGCCAAAGAGAGCTGCTGACGGGGAGTGCAACCAGCCCAAGAGAGAGAAGTGCATCGCAGTCAACAAAGCTGAACAGAGTTGGAGATCTGAAGAGTGTTTTGACATCACACATGGAGATGCACAGTTTGGAGTTGCCCAGCTGGTTTTCGGTCTTGCTTGGTCCAGTATTTCCTCACTATGATCCTTTCCCTATGTTTTGGAATGGTAATGCATATCCTGTACCATTATGTGTTGGAATTATGTGAACTGCTTTTTTAATTTTTACAGGTGATTACAGTTAAGTGATTGCATGACTCTCAGAAGCAACGTGAGACTTTAAAACATTGTTTAGACACTGATAGACTATAGGGACATTTAGAGTTGGACTAAAAGCATTTTGTATTATGATATTGCTACAACCTTATGGGGGCTGGTGAGTGGAATGTGGTAGTTTGGATGTAACTGGCCCCATAATTTCACAGGGAGTGGCACTGATAGGAGGTGTGGCTTTTTGGAGTTGGAGTAGGTATGGCCTTGTTGGAGACAGTGTGTCTTTGTGGGAGTAGCCAACTGTGGTGGTTTGAAAGAAAATTGTTCTCAAATGGAGTGGCACTATTAGGAGGTATGGCTCTGTTGGAGAAGTGTGTCAGTGTAGGGGTGGGCTTTGAAGTGTCCTATGCTCAAGTTATGCAGTGTCACAGTTCAGTGAAATGATTCCTAATGATATTCTGCTATACTAGTAGAGTAGAGCTTAGCATAATCATCATCACAGATGATTTATCTAGCAACTGATGGAAACAGATACACATCCACAGCCAAACATTAGGTGGAGTTCAGAAAATCCTGCAGAAGAGGGAAAGAAGGGATGTAGGAGCCAGAGAAGTCAAGGACATAGTAAGACCCACAGAATGAACTAAGCAGTGCTCATAGGGACTCACAGAGACTGAACCCACAATCAAGGAGCATGTTTGGGTCCAACCTAGGTCCTCAAGGTTATGGTTCAGAAGCATGGTGTTCTTGTCCTGCCTTGATATAAGGTGAGTCTTAGCGTAATTTGATATGCCATGTTCACTTGATATCCCTGGGAGGCCATCAGAAAGAAAGAGTGAATTTGGGGAAGAAGGGAAGTGTAGGGGGCCTGGAGAGGAGGGAGGGGAAACTATATGAGAGAAGCAAAAATTAAAAAAAAAAAAAGTAGTAGTAGTAGTAGTCTGAATTAAACCATCCACAACCAGTTTGAGAATAACCTAGGAACGAGCTGTGTGTGACAAGCAGGACAATGTATACACCAAGCAGTTCAGCTCAGACCGTAAGAGAAAGAAAGTCAGCCTCCGGAGTACACAACTTGCAGTTCCCTGCTGTAGTCCGAAAACCTGAAGCCCCAGGACTGTACTTGGCATCCACAGCTGCAGCCCTCTGTGGTGGTCTGAATAGGAATGGCCCCATAGGCTCGTGTGTGTGAATAGGAATGGCCTCATAGGCTCATGTGTGTGAATAGGAATGGCCCCATAGGCTCACGTGTGTGTCAATAGGAATGGCCCCACAGGCTCATGTGTGTGAGTAGTTGGCCCATAGGGAGTGGCACTACTAGGAGGTACAGCCTTGTTGGAATAGGTGTGGCCCTGTTGGAGGAAGTGTGTCACTGTGGAAGTGAGCTTTGAGGTCTCATATATGCTCAAGCTACGCTGTGTGGCATACAGTCCCCTTTTGCTGTCTGCAGATCACGAAGTAGAACTCTCACCTCCTTCTCCAACACCCTGTCTACCTGCATGCCATCATGCTTCCTGTCATGATGACAATGAACAAAACCCCTGAAACTGTAGGCCAGCCCCAATTAAATGTTTTCCTTTATAAGAGATGCTGTGATCATGGTGTCTCTTCACAGCAATAGAAACCCTAACTCTCTACAGGCAAGCATCAGGGAAACTTAGAAAAGTAAAAGGCAGGTCTTTCACCTGTACATTTCTCTCACTCCCAAGTAGGAGACACTTGCCAGCCAGAACATTGATCACCCCAGAAAGTATGACCTGGGCAGTTTCAAGAAAGGTGGGAGAACCTGCTATAGATACAGGAAGATTGCTGAGAGTTCAAGCAGCAATGACAAATGACAAAAGAATTTTAACAACTATATTTGTGTGTGTGTGTGTGTGTGTGTGTGTGTGTGTGTATCCCTCAAGACATGTAACTAAATTTTGGGCAAGAAATGTTTGCTAAGACAACAATGAAAATATTTACTTTTGTAGCTCTACATCTCTACATTGTTCAGATTTTCAAAAATAAGCACATATTACTTGTATAAGCAATAGTAACAACTGGGAAAACTTCCTGTAACATGAACAGTCAACTCTTAATACTCCTTTTAAATACACTTATTTCTAAAACGTTTCACAATTTTTAAGATAGAGAACATATATGGTTCTCTTTCCTTCCATCACTGTGTCCCAAACACAAGATGCCTTGCAAATATGAATAGTGACTGTTGTTTTCACACACCAGGTGGAGGGGCCATCATCCTTCGGTCTTGTTCCCATGGAGGTGACAGGGACCTGTCAGAAGGTGCTCTGGGAGCATCAGATAATCTGTTATAGCTTGTCTCTCCTCTTTCAGTGTTCATCTGATGGTCCAGAGGATTCTGAGGGCCTCGTGAACCTAAAGAAAACTCAAATCAATATAATCTCAAAATGTGTCAGAAAAGACCTATTGTCAAATAAAATCAACATGCTTTTTCCAAGGTGAATACAGAGTTAGATAAAGCTTCCCTGGAATATATTTAGATTATAATTCTACCAAAACCAGACGGGAAAATAAGTTTGCAATGTATATAAACCAATACTTGATACAGGCTGGAAGGATAGCTCAGAGATTAGAGTATTTGCTTAGCTAACAGAAAGCTCTGGCACAAAATAAATAAGTAAATAAATAGCCAACAACACTTGCCCACAAAATTTATCTTTAAGGATTACCACCATCATTATTTTGCAATTATAATCACTTGTTAGATAATAACTACTAAGTCTGAAAAATAAGGTATAGAAAGTAAATTGTAAAGACTTCTACTAAGCAAAAGTATAAAATAAGTAAAAGATAAGGTTTTTGTTGCTTAGGCATGATTTCTATCGATCATCATAGAGGCCACATTGCTATATCGGCGATTCTGCTACTAACCATGTAGTTTCACACAACTTCCTTGGATACTATACTAAGCCTAACATTAAGAGATCAAAACTTGCATCAGAAATTATAATAAGAATCTCTAATTCTATCCAACAATGAGTATACATTCTAGTAAATCCCCACATCTTTCCTCCTAATTAGTTCATGAGAAGAAGGCTGGGAAGAGAGAACACTCAGGAGTCCACTAGGCTCAGCATATCTCAAGCGAAGCACACAAGCCTTATGAGAGGTTCAAAGACTCTCCTCATCACGTGCTACCAGGACCAAAGCCACAAGCCATGTGACTATCAGGTGGACACTGCAAAACCTGAAAATACAAAAGCTTAAAAGGTTTTAAGAACAAGTATTTACAATTGACTCTCTAAAAATAAATTGCTTTCCTCACACACAATCTTATTCAAGCTTTCAAATTTCAAGACAGTAAGAGGAAGGAGAAGGAGGCACTCTGTCCTTTCACTGATCATAGGAAACTTGCTCCAAATTGAGATTTTAGGCCTGTTGGTAACTTACCAAGAATTTCTGTAGCTTTTTGACAGGAAACAACCTTATAAATAATCTAAACACAATGTCACTTAAAAGCAATTAAATAGAAGAGGAAAATACCTCAACAGAAGAGGAGAAAGGAAAGGTAACTTTTACGATAATTTCAAACATTCATTTGACTACAGGCAATCCTTGACTTATGCGATTCAAATTCCAGTGAGTTAGTTTAGCCAATTTCTAGGGCACTGTGCTCATATATGGATAGCTACTATCCTTGTGTGTTGTGCAAAATAAACTGTCTTAATGAACATTCTTCTCTTAATGAAATGTGATAAAACTGTACAGAAAGCATCAGAAATCACAAAGCGCAATGGCAAACACTTTAAATGTGGTGGCTTTAATTACATTTATATTGGCATGTCATGTGACATGGCACACATTTCTTACTCTAAGTCCAAGTGTAAAAGGTGGTGGCAAGGGGACTGACTGACAGCACTGAGCCCAAGGCTTACAGTAGACATGTAAATTTCAAAACTTAACCCCTTTCTGGAGTGTTCAGTACAACCCCGCTAGGACTCCATGACTGGCATAGTCATTTTCCCTTGAAGCTTCCAGTTCAAAGCCAGCACAAGCAAAGCTCTTCCTGAGGTGAGCCAGGACTGGCAGGAGGTAGGAAAACAGTTCTGAATGGAGCAAACTGAGGACCAAGAAGACAACAAAGAGGAAACAAGCTGAGCGGCTCCTTCCCCTGCAGCACTCAGGAACTGATCTTCTCACAAAGGATTCTGAAATATTGACAATGACCCTGAGTTTAGCAGAAGTACAGTTTGCCTGAGACTCTAGAAATGAGCGCACTCATTGTGAAATGTTGACATGTTTGCTTTAGCTGGCTGTTTTCAGTCTTGCTTGTTCCTGCCTCACGTTTAGTTTGTTAGATCACTTACATAAATGGTTAGAGACATTCATTAGCAGTTCCTGTACTTAACATAGCTATGGAAATAGAGAAAAAGCAAGGTGGCATGGGAGCAATGCACACAACCCCGGCTTAGTCTCTCAAAATGTCAATAAAAGTTAGCACTCCTGAAAAGGCCCCATCCAAACGCTACCTACAAGAGCACTTCCTTCAGATTAAAAGGGGGGATAGGGGTTTTCACATTCCGATTTACTATTTTAAAAAAGTTACTGAAATAAATGTATACATATAAAATTCTACATTCTGATCCTGTTTCATCAAGCACATTTTATGCTGGTTATACTGCTCTATCTTACGTATTCTTTAAAAGGTTTTATGTAAAATATAATTTTGAAAGATACCCATTGACTCCTCATTATGCAGTGTAGGTTGAGTATTCCTTACTGGAAATGCATGGCACTAGAAGTGTCTGCAATTTCAGATGATGGGGGAAGTCCTCCTGTATGTATGTTTCTCTTATTGGCTAATGAATAGAACGATGATTGGCAGGCAGGAAGTATACGTAGGGCCAGGAGATGAGGAGAATGCTGGGAAATGCAGGCAAATGGGGTTGCAATGTAGCAGCCAAAGGAGTTAGAGGTCTGGGCTTTCTCTGGGAAGCCAAGACCATGTAAAAATGCATAGATTAGCAGAAATGGATTAGTAATTAAGACAGAGCTAGCCAATAAGAAGTCCAAGCTATGGGCCAATGATTTAATAACTAATATAGCGTTCGTGGGTTCATTTGGGGGCTAAAGGGCCAGACAGGACGAGACAAAGAACCTCTTGCTTCCTTTATGATTTCTCCCCACCCACCCACCCCCACCCCGTGTGTGTGTGTGTGGGTGTGTGTGTGTGTGGGTGTGTGTGTGTGTGGGTGTGTGTGTGTGTGGGTGTGTGTGTGTGTGGGTGTGTGTGTGTGTGGGTGTGTGTGTGTGTGGGTGTGTGTGTGTGTGTTTATACACCTTAAGGGTTGAGCACCACAAACTCAAAATCTGCAATATGAAATGCTTCAAAATTCACAACTTTTTGAGTACTACACCCAAAGAGTCTGCCATTGAGAGCACTCTGGATTTCTGCATTTCCATAGTTGGGATGGCCACCTGCCTTAAACTGTATGCAAAAGAAGCAAGGTGGTATGGAGGATTTTGCTGTTTGTTTTGTTTTTGGGGTTTTGGTTTTTTTTTTTTTTTTTTTTTTTGAGGCAGAATCTCACTATGCAGCAATGCATGTCCTGGAAACCAGGCTGACCTCAAACTCACAGGGATCCTCCTGCTTCTGCCTCCTAACTTCTAGAATTAAAGGCATGTGCCACCATATCGGCCCAAGATTCTTTTCCCAGTTAAAAAAATAAGTAAATCTATGATAAATGCAAGGAATGCCTGTACTTTCCAAATGTCTATTTACAGATTATTTTAAAGGTAAGTTGAGATGAAAATATAAAGTAAGGAAGAAATTTAGAGTAATGAAAATGTTTAAACAAAATACCTCTTCCTCCTCCCCCTGGAAGCAAAGGTGAGAGTCTGAGTGGACCCTCCAACAAAGTTGGAGGAGAGAGAAAAGCTCTCGTTTCAGATGAAGGTCGGCCCAGTGGGGAGGGACCATATGGGGAGTGCTCTGGAATGATTAAAACAGCAGATGTAAATGCAGATCCAGTTAGCTGTACCATAAAGTCAGAATCCCATTCAACAACTGTCATTGGGTCATCCTACTGTCGGCTTACGTCTAATCTGTGCCTTGACACTATACAGACTTAGAGCTTGGTATTTTTAAAGCATTTCAACAAATTAGACATTTAGTCAAATAAAAGCATAAGGTTGTATACATAAAAATTCAGAACTTGAATTCGCTCAGCTTTACTCCTATGTACAGAGTTCTGATGTTTTTAAGGTTTTATTTTTAATTTGCCATGTGTGTGTGTGTCTATGTGTGGGATATGTACATGCAAATAACAGCGGCATATGAGGCCAGAGGCACTAGATCCTGTAGAGCTGAAGTTTACACGGACCATGAGCTACTCAATATGTGTTCTAGGAACTGAACTCAGGTCCTCTGCAAGAACAATAGGTACTTTTAACAGCTGAGCCACCTCTTCAGCCCTAAGACAGTTCTGATTTTTACAATGTGAAGGTCAGGGGCTGGTGAGATGGCTCAGAGGTTAAGAGCACTGACTGCTCTTCCAGAGGTCCTGAGTTCAATTCCCAGCAACCACATGGTGGCTCACAACCATCCGTTATGAGACCTGGTGCCCTCTTCTGGCAGATATACATTGAAGCAGAATGTTGTATTCATAATAAATAAAATCTTTAAAAAAAAAATGTGAAGGTCATAAGGTCTGTGTTGAATGTTGCTTATTTTTATCTGTGCAATGCTGAAGGCAGGCCACAAGCTCAAGAGAAATTTTACCTGGTTAAATAAACACAATTCTCACAATATATTGTACATAAAAACCAACCAACAAACAAAGGAACCACAAACAAAACCAAACCATTAGCTACTGTAAGTAACCACACAAGTTAAACAAAGGATGCTGGTGGTATTTAGGAGTCACTGAAGGATTCAGGGAGCATGAAGTGAGTTTGCTTTTTGTGTTGTTGTTTTATTTTGTTTCTTGAAATGGTTTCATTATGTAACACTAGCTGGCCTGGACCTGGATATGTAGACCTGATTGGCCTTAAACTCACAATGATTAGCCTGTGCTCGACTCAGAGTAGAGTTAATGGTGTCTGGCACCATACACAGATATTTTGGGAACTTTGTGACAGCATACTTCCCAATATTTCAACTGGGAATATTTACAACTTGGAAGTGCTTGATTTAAGTCAGAGCCAGATAGGTCATGGTCAACCATGAAATGTTCTAGTAAGAAAGTTTGGGGGTTTTTATTTTTTGTTTTGCTTTGTTTTTTAGTGTTTTGAAACAGAGTTTCTCTCTACATAGCCTTAGCTCTCCTGGAAATCACTCTGTAGACCAGGCTAGCCTGGAAATCAGAGATCTCTGCCTCCCAAGTGCTGGAACTAAAGGCGTGCGACACCACTGCCCAGCTAAAAGTCACATTTTTAAAAGTAAACAAATGTATAAAATACTCTGAAGAGTCAGAAATTACTTTTGAATTTTACAAGTTAAAGACTCAGATATTGCCGGGCGGTGGTGGCACATGCCTTTAATCACAGTACTCGGGAGGCAGAGGCAGGCGGATCTCTGTGAGTTCGAGACCAGGCTGGTCTACAAGAGCTAGTTGCAGGACAGCCTCCAAAGTCACAGAGAAACCCTGTCTCAAAAAAAAAGAAAAAGAAAAAAAGAGACTCAGATATTATCATGCATCCAATAAATTTATCTGTAATCCAGATGACTAAGAGCCCTAACATTTTACAAATTAATCATTCCAAATTGTGATTATGCTTCTGAAGGTAAAAAATCAGTAACAAAAAAGAACTTAAGACAGCAGGGAATTCCCACTTGAAACACAGTAACTCTTACAGAGTTTACACTGCCCCACCAACTGGTCTACAGAGAAGACCAAAGCGGGGTTCACCCTGCATAGAGTCCGGATCTATCCACTTGCCCCACTCCAAGCTTTGTCACTATCTGAAGTCTTCAATAATCTGATTATCTTAAAATATAAGACATATTTACATTGTAGTGAAAGTTAGCTCTCAAAAGTGATTTGAATTAAAGGTATATTCTACCCATAAAGATTTCACTTCATAACTATAGGACTTTAATTCCACTTCAACTAAAATCACTCTGAAAATGATTAGCTCTTTGGAAATCATTAAAATACTAACTCAGTAATAAACTGGCAGAGGTACTAACTGCATCTTTGAGGGGCTAACTTCCCTGGGATAATTACAGTCATCAAACTCTACAGCTTGCCCTAACTTTTAAATCAATACTTTAAGAATTTTTTTGAAAGGCCATGTTAATTATCAAGCAAGTTTCAAAGTATTGTTAATATGGGAAATAGTCACAATGCTATTCCACTTAAGAACTTCCTATTCATTCTCCCAAAAACTAACCAATGATACCGTACTAAGAGCTTTTCTCTGAGAAAGGGAGATACCAGTCATTTTCATTACTGCTAAGAAACCAAAACCCAGAGTTAACAAAACAGTTTCAAATAAAATCCTCCCTACAAAATCCACAATACTTTTAGGTGAAAATGTCAACTTACACTAAAGTAAACTATTATATACAATATATATGGATACACAATATGTATTTTAAACAAGGGGTTAAAAAAAAAAAAGACTACCTCTGCCAAATGCTGTATTTGGAATATCAGGTGCATAGGGATCTTTTTCTAAAAGTTCAAATTTAAATTCTGCTTCAGTTAATCTGCAAACAAAGAACAAACATCTCTACGTTACTCACCCGAAAGAAACACCACATTTTAAGCAAAGGCCACTTCCAAAACAGCTCTAAGCTTAACATCTGCTGAAAGAAAAAGGCCTACCACTGGTCTGCCCAGATCCCTTTCTACAGTTCCCCACTTTCTTGGGGGTGACTGGCTTCTCCGTAGAGGTGCTCATGTTTAGAACTTCTTAGCTCGATGAGTGCTATGTCTAAGAGTACACATTTCTGAAGTAGAACATCCTAGATAAATGTGTCATTTTATAACTAAGGAAACTGAGGCAGGGACCTTAACTGACTCCTAAATGAAACGGCCTAGGAGACAGTGCAGAAATGCTCTTAGTTACCTACACTTAACCTTGTAAAACTTGAAATCCCATTAATTGATACAAGTATTATATTTCTTTTTTGTTTTTTGGGTTTTTTTGGGGTTTTTTGTTTTGTTTTGTTGTTTTTGTTTGTTTGTTTGTTTCGAGACAGGGTTTCTCTGTGTAGCTTTGGAGCTTATCCTGACACTCTCTCTGGAGACCAGGCTGGCCTCAAACTCACAGAGATTCGCCTGCCTCTGCCTCCCGGGTGCTGGGATTAAAGGCGTGCACCAATAACGCCAGGCCGAATATTATATTTCTAAACTTTGTATCTTTAAATTTACATTTTAAACAAATGTTACTTTAGTTCCTGGTTCTTAGACTTAAACAACTGTTTGACTTTAATTTCTGAGCTATGAGCCAGAAGACAGAAACCAGTTTGTTTTTTTTTTAATTTTATTTATTTAGTATGTATATAGTATCTTGCCTGCATGTGTCTCTTCATGCCAGAAGAGGGCACCAGATCTCATTACAGATGGTTGTGAGCCACCATGTGGTTGCTGGGAATTTAACTCAGGACCTTTGGAACAACAACCAGTGCTCTTAACCTCTGAGCCATCTCTCCAGCCCCAGAAACCAGTTTTTAATGATTCTAAAAATACAATTTGGTGGCACACACCTTTAATCCCAGCACTCAGGAGGCAGAGGCAGGAAGATCTCTGTGAATTCGAGGCCAGCCTGGTCTACAAGAGCTAGTTCCAGGACAGCCTCCAAAGCCACTGAGAAACCCTATCTCAAAAAACCCCCCACAGTGTTCTGTCTGCATGTATGTGTGCAGGCCAGAAGAGGGCACCAGATCTCATTACAGAGGGTGAGCCACCATGTGGTTGCTGGGAATTGAACTCAGGACCTCTGGAAGAGCAGCCCGTGCTCTTAACTTGAGCCATCTCTCCAGCCCAGGTTTAATTTTTTTAAGTGACACTTTTTACAGTGTAACTTGTAAAGCTTCTTAAAGCGCCACTGTATTTCATACAAATTAAAACTTCACAGCTAGTAAAACTAACTAGATATTTCATAACATTATGTGGATTTACTACAAATTTTTTTTTAATTTAACCTTATACAAGCATTACATGATGAAGAAACTATTTCAAGTAAAGTATTTCCATGAATACTTACTTTTGTCTATTGAGAGCATTTTCTTTCCTTAAATCATTGATGTTTCTTTCCAAAGTCCGAGCTGCCAGCTTGAAGAAAATAATACATTGTGAAGCTGTATCTATACAAATTTAAATGTCAAGAGCATGATGGCATATAATATAACAACCCAAAACAGATTAAGAATCTGCACTTATTGTAGTCATTTAAATTTAGGGAATTATTCAAAAAGGGAATGAGTTTCATGCCAGCCAAATGCATAAATATAAAGCTGGAGTATAATTGGCACTTGTTAATGAATGTTGCTATTTAAATGCAAAATCAGGGCCTAAAATGATTTAATGATAAAAATATCCAATCATAAGAGGCATGCTAGCAGACTAGCTTAGGGCAAAGTCAATGGGAACAGATGGTCATTATGTCCCTAATTCTGGTAAAACAGTTTCACAGAATGCCAATACAGGTCATTTTTTAAAAACTAAATGCAATCAATACATATTGCTCATCTATTAAGTATTAGACAATGCACAAATACAATTTAAGTAGTTAATATTTGTATGCACATAAGTGCATGCATGCAAGCTCATGTTTTTGTGTGTGTATTTGTTGGTAATGTACAGCACCATGTCCGGCTTAGTTATAATAAATACCACGAACATGAAATATTCCCAAATAATCATTAACAAAGGCCAAACATATGACATTCTACATGTTTCCCAGCCATTCTGTGGACTCTACAGATTAGACACAGAATATAGAAAACATTAGATATATCAAATGCAAAATGTAAGTTTATCATACATAGGCAGCAAAGACTAACACTCTATAACCACTAACTATTTACAAGTAGAAGGAACTCTACTTTCAAAAACTTTGAAATACACATGAGAATTGACTTTAGCCAATGAATAAACTAAACATTCACAGAAAACATATTTTAGTACTATCAAAAAAGATTTTTTGGCTAGGCAGTGGTGGTGCACGCCTTTAATCCCACTACACAGGAGGCAGAGGCAGGTGCATCTCTAAGGACAGCCTGGTCTACAGAGCTAATTCCAGGACAGCCAGCAATATACAGAGAAACCTTGTCTCAAACCCCCACACACAAAAGGATTTCTTTTGTGTAATTATTTTCTAATATGTAATCATAAAATCAATTTTGAACAAAAAGGAATGCTGTAAAATGTAACAATTCACTTAACTGTTTTAACATTTTATTTAGTTTTATGTGTATGAGTGATCCTCCTGACTCTGCTATAACTGGACTTTTGTACAAGGTGCTTACTGTCTGACACTTATATGTGCACATGTGTGCATTTTATATGTGTGTGAGCACACACGAGTGTGAGTGGAAGTATCCTAAAAGGACAGAAGAGGGTGTCAATTCACCTCGAACTAGAATCACAGGCAACTGTGAGCCATCTGACTTGCTCAGAATCAAACACAGCTCAGGTTCTCTGGAAGAGCAGCAAGTGCTGAGCTTAACTACTGAGCCATCTCTCCACCCCCACAAACTTCTTGTCATGTCTATGTGATTCTATAATTAATTCAGAGAGAAAAGTATAAATAAAGCACAAAATAAAAGATGATTACTTCTCAGTGCCTCCTATGGTCTGACTTTGTAACATGATTTTAAGACTGGTAAAATTAATAAAATTAATAGAAAGTGATTATTTTTTAAACACTGTCTATATTTTTACCTCATCTAAAATGAGTAGTATATATAGGGAACTGAAAAACTTACCCAATTATCATGTGCCTTTTTTTCATGAGCAATAACCTAAAAAAAAAAAAAGTTGTTAAAATTATTCTTAAATAAAAACATTCATTCCCACCACTAAAATTTAAGGCCCAAACCATAAACTCACACTGCCTAGGCATATCTCAAGCACTATAAGCATTTTGAAAGCATAATTTCATGTATACAGATGACTTACTCTACTGAACTTTTAAACAAAAACTGATAATATAAGTGTTTTTAATGCCAACAAACTGCATGAGACGATCAACAGATAACAAGCATAACATGGGACTGCAATGGTAACAGATATTCTTTGGGTTGCATAGTCCTCATTAACAAAGAAAGGAACGTTTCAGAAGTTTTTGATTTCAGCGTCTTTGGCTCCCTGGGTATATTTTAGTCTCACAAAACACCCAGGAGGGATGGAAGCTACAGTCCTGCATCAGTGCTGTTGAGTCAGAGCACTCTGACTGTGTAGACAGCAGTCATGTGACATACATACCTGCCCTTGATAAGAACGAATTGTTCTCTCCAACTCTTCTTCGACATCCTTGGCACGCTGTCTATAAGGAACAAGTAGTTACTCCTCTGTGGTAACATATATTATGGAATGAGAGTACATAGCTACAAGAGTACAAACAAGAGTGTTCTATACTTAATTAGAACCCCAAGACTCATCTTTTGAGAGACACTGACAGATTTTAAAGATCATCTTCTCCTCACCTAATTCCAACCTCAATTAAACCTTGTGAGCACTACTGCTTGGGTGTGGCTAACACACTGCCACTAAGATTTAGACAATACAGAAGGTCTCGCCCTGCCTGGCCTCAGGCTCAGTTATAATCTTCCTATCCCTCTCCATCCTAAGTGCAGAAGTCACAGGCACATGCCTCCATGCCTGATGCTCTTAGACAATACAGAAGGTCTCACCCTGCCTGGCCTCAGGCTCAGTTATAATCTTCCTATCCCTCCATCCTAAGTGCAGAAGTCACAGGCACATGCCTCCATGCCTGATGCTCAGGTTTTCCTTTTGAGAGACTCAGAATCCTGAAAGATTAACACACACATCCTGTAATCTTAACAGAGTCCCAGGACAGGAACTCTTTTTTTGTTTTGTTTTTTCAAGACAGGGTTTCTCTGTAGCCCTGGCAGTCCTAGAACTTGCTCTGTAGACCAGGCTGGCCTTGAACTCATAGAGATCTGCCTGCCTCTGCCACCACCACTCAGCTCAGGAGAGGAACTCTTTTTTTTTTTTTTTGGAGAGGAACTCTCAAAAGGTAAAATTACAACTAACTTACTGCCGTTATGAAACAAAGAAAGTAATTTGTCGTTTTAGACAAAGCCCAAACTTACTCTTCCAAAGGTAAAGGGAAGTGTTCCTATGACTCAAGCTGCTGTGTTCCTATGACTCAAACAGACATTTTGTGTTTCCTAAGATCCACTGAGGACTGAACCAAAAACTATAGCTAGGCATTTATTTACTAAAATGCTGTGTGGCTTGTTCATTTAGTGGCACACTCATTGAATGTTAATACTGTGAATGTTCTTCCCCATCCAAACAAAGTCCAATCAATGAGCTTGAATTAACTGCTCTCTCCATTTCCATCTTTGAGATGGGGGTCTCATGCAGTCCAAGCTAGTTTCAAACTCACTATTTAGCCAAGGCTGGCCCTGATCTTGTGATCATTCTGTTCCCAGTGCCAACACACAGCGATTAACTATTTACAAACTTCTTGATATTAACATAAAATATGTCTAAACTTATATATCAAAGTCCCCCAAAAGAAAACTTTTCCTTTTTATATTTTCTGAATATCTGCAAAATAACAAGAAATTCAAATGCAAAGTAATGGAATAAAAATAAGCCAATTCACTGAGTGGTGGTGGCGGGACACACACCTTTAGCACTTGGGAGGCAGAGGCAGGCGAATCTCTGAGATCAAGGCAAGTCTGGTCTACAGAGTGAGTTCCAGGTCAGCCAAGGATACAGAAAAACCTTGTCTCAAAAACAAACAAAGCCATTTTGTTACTGCTTCCTGCTTCTGAGCATCCCAACAAGAAAGAGTACTTCATACCTGTAGGTCTCCAGCTCCTTGGTCGCATGGCTGATCCTCTCGTCCACTTTGGAAAGTTTTTCCTCTTTCTCTAATCGGCAATTTTCTTCTACTGTTAATTTCCTTAACAAAGAGTATTTCATTTCTTTTAATGTATGGAATTCATATAATCAGCTACACTTTTAAAATCACATGAGAACTGGTGTGTCCCACAAAGCAATTTCCACACACCACGGCAAAGGCCACATGCAAAAAAAAAAGTCTGTGTATTTCTGATATGAAATTTAACATTCTAAACCCAATATCACAATGTTCTCATTACAGTGCTATTAGTATTAACAGTCTCAAGTGTTTTACATTATCGTAATTTACCCAGTATAAATATTAATAAAAACTTTTATGACTAACATTTATCATGGTTTCTTGTAATAAGGCATAATGTTTGTTAGTAAGAAGTCAACAACTAAAACTATGGCTTGTTTTGTTTTGTGTTTTTAAGACAGGGTCTCACAATGCAGACCTGAAACTCACTCTGTAGACCAGGCTAACCTCTAGTTCACAAAGATCCACCTGTGTCTGCTTCTTGAGTGCTAGAATTAAGGGTGTGTAGCTCTAATATTTTAATTGGTAGTTTAAAATAATAAGAGAATAAACAATACCAGCACCAGCACTAATCATGCACTACTTTTTTCTTGTACTAATAGTAGATAACAGGTAACTCGCTGAACCATTAGTGTGTGCCAGAACTGTCACTAGACTTTTCTGTGGGCCATTAAACTAGTCAGCAGCTTTACAGGACTATTATTTCCGTTGCATAAAAATGAAAACACAGCACAGAGAAACCAAATACAGCCACATACTATGTAACAACAGGTCTCTGATAAATGAACCAACAAGCCATTTCACCACTCTGTGGACATCAGAGTATACTTACACACACCAAGAGGGCTAAGAATCAGTGGGTGGCATTGTCATATCTGTGGTGCATGGTTTACCAACATGTTGTTACATGTCACCTGATTGTCACAGGGAGCAGGCTTTGGGAGCACATAGCCTTACCCTACTTCTGGATTCCTCCCTCTCCTTCAAGTTTAGGTTATGATCTCTCAGCACCCATGCTCCCCTCACTATCACAGGCTCCTGCTCTGGAACTATTTGCCAAAGCAAGCTCTCCCTTCTACTAGCTGCCTTGATCAGAATATTTTGATATTTAGGGTTTTTTTTTTTTTTGCTTTATTTTGTTTAGTTTTTTTCAGTCATGGTATTTTATCACAGCAACAGAAAAGTGACTAATACTACCTTAAAGTTGAAATTCATACACTGTGAAAGTAAACTCTACTGATGGAACTTCAAAGAGAAATCACTTTTTTGGGGGGGAAAGATCAGGAGTTAAAGGTCATAGTTGACTATAATCAGGGTCAAGACAGCATGGACTACATGGAACATTCTTGAACAAAATAAAAGATGTCTTATTTAATATAAGGTGTAGATTTCCTAACATTAAACTCACAGTCAACAGCACTGTAAGTTATGACCAAACAAAGTTCATCTGATACATGGTATTTGCTCCACAAAATATATCATGGCCTTCTTACCATCAAGAACAAGACAGCACTTAAGCACATGCTTGGGGTCTATGCCAACAGCTACATCACCAAATAAACAATTCTCAAAAGATGTGGTACTCAGAGAAGGACATTTGTTTACAGAATGAGAACTGAAAGACATTGCAGCGTTAGTCCTCAACAGGGAGTGTTCACAATGGGTACCTCAGAAGCTTTATCATTCTCAGTATACCCACGAAAGGCCATGAAAGCCCCCCAAAAGAACAGGTTTTAAGGTTACAAATTTATCAATAGACTTTACATCACACATACATACATACATACAGACAGACAGACAGACAGACAGATACAATGTATGAAGGATAAGGACTGGCAAGGGACTTCCATTAACTTCCTAAAAGAAAATAAAAGTCTGCTAGGTTTTATAATGAAAAGTCCATGCTATAATTCATACTTCGAAATCTGCAATTGCTGGATCGGTGTCTCAAGGGTCTTCTCTCTGCCTGTATCTGGGCATCTCTGTGTACAAGCATACAAGCACAACCTGCCATCAATATTTAAGTTGAGCACTGAGCACAAGTATTGACTGGAAATCTACTATTTTCCTTTCAGTTTAGGCACTGAGAATATAAACAAAAATAAGATACTTCCTACAGAGTTTAAATTAATATGAGGACATGATGTTTAGAGCACAAAAAGGACTGTGAAGAAAGATAAGGGAAGAGAATAGCAGGTATTGTTTTAGGATACCAGGGATCCCTTCTTTAAGATGACAGTGGAACCCAGATCAGAATGAAACAAAGGGTCGAACCATGCAAGCACACAGAACACCAGTCACTGCAAGCAAAAAAAAAAAAAAAAGGCATAAAAGACCTTAAGATACAGATGTGCTTGGCACACCAAAAATTAAGAAAGCCAGTGTCAACAGAGAGCAACAAAGAAAAGAGACACAGAATAGGCTAGAGCTAGCCAAAAGGCAGGAACAGTAATCTTGGATCTGAGAAGCCAAGATTAAGTTTTGCTTTAAATCTGTTTAAATGCACTTAGGGGATCCAAGAAAGACAGTGATAGTCCCCACAATTCATGTTTTAAGAGTTATTCTGAGGTTACAGAGGAAAGACAGTGCAGGAGGTAAAGGTATAAAAACAACCATTCATAGGGCTACTATGATAAGCCAACTACTGCCAATGATGGCTTTAAGCAGAGTACTGGCAGAGGGCAAAATGCCATCAGATTAAAGGTTAGGAAGGGCGACAGGATTTGATGATAAGACAAACAAATATGGGACACAAAGGGGGCATTTAAGGATGTCGAGCAGCTGCCCTGTACACAAAGCAAATGATACTGTCAGTTAGTAACTAGAACAAGGAATATTAAGCAAGACTAACTTACACAGAAGAAAGGAGTCAGTATTACATACACTAAGCAGTTCCATCCAAAGAGATCACTCAGATTCCCTGACCCGGTTTGTCAGCATTAGTTTAGGGCAATAATCTGATAAACGCTTACTAGACATTAAGGAAGATTTTGTGAGATAGCTTGGAAATTCCAACATATTTACATTTTCTTCCATGAAGAAAAACGTTCAAGACCAAATAACATTCTTAAAAGTGAATTATTTGGTCCCGGTGATATGGTAAACTCTTTTAATCCCAGCACTCGGGAGGCAAAGGCAGGTGGATCTCTGTGAGTTCAAGACCAGACTGGTCTACAGAGTGAGTTCCAGGACAGCCTCCAAAGCTACACACACAAACCCTGTCTCAAAAAACCAAACAAACAAACAAAGTGAATGATTCTATATAATTGATAACGTCCAATAATCACATGTGTAAGGCCTCAAATATGTAACACATACTTTAAAGCCATTTTACTTGCCATTCAATGGAGTTGCCCAACACTTCTCACCTGTGAAGCTTCATTTCGTTGTCTTGGTACAGTTCCGTCATCACTGTGAGTTTCTGCTGAAGCTTCTGTTTCTCCTTTTCAAGTTCTGAGTTAGCTGACTGCAGAGACACTTGTTCAGACTCCAGACTTCTGATACACTCTAGAAGAAAGGTTCGAAGTCAAAAAGAAACAAAACTAAAGGAATTTCATAAAAATAAAATGTATTAAAGATAGAAAAGATTGGACATGCCTAGGGTGATACAGCTATAGACAATTACTACAGATAACAGCAAACCAAACTTCCTCCAGCAACAGCAGAAAATCACTAAGGTATTTTGTTTGCCTAATTGTTTTTCACTATTTTAACTAAGATGTCACTTTTAAATTATTATTATGAGGATCTCCCAAACCTTCAACATTCTAATTCTAGCATCTGATTGTCAACGTGAGAGGTAACAGCCACTGAAGGAAGGCTATGAGGATGAGAGTTTCAACAGTGGGCATTTCAGCTCAGCATTCCCTATTTCCTATGCTGAATGTCTGTTATATCCTAATGAGAAGTTGCCTCAATAAACTGATGGTTCAGGCTGGTGGACAGAGCCAAGAGGTAGAGCCCTGGCCTAGAACACACAAAGCCCTGGGTTCAGTCACCAGTACTTCTTTTTCAGCCAAAATTATACATGTGTTGTTATTCAAGCCAGCTGATAACAAATGCTCATTTTCCAGTTGGGTGAGAGACCCTGTCTCAAACAAGATCAAGACTGGAAAGAATAATGACTTGAACTTTATTTCAACTGCTAAACTACTGAATCACCCACAAAAATGGGGAGATAGCTCAGTCAGTAAAGTACTGGCCACACAAACATAAGGACCCAAGTTTGAGTCCCCAGCACCCACATAAGCTCTGTCAACATACAGGAAAGGGAAAAGCAGGATCCCTGGGGCTCACTGAGCAGCTGTTCTGGCCAAGCAGCACAATCTAGGTTTAGTGAGACCCTTTCTCAACAAACAAGGTGGAAAGCACCTGAAGAAAACCCTGAACATCGACCTTTGTCCTCTATACACATATGAACACACACTAAAACAGAAATGAACAATTCTAAGTGATTGTGAATTCTGTATAAACTAGCAAACCACTGTTTTTTCAAAATCTCATTTCTCTTTCATTATAATTACTAAAACTCTAAACAACTCTAGTAGTGAAATGAGAACCTCAACTCTGACCTCCTCTAAGGTATCATTTCCCAAAACATGTGTGAACCAATCTAACACACACAAAAAAATGCACTATGTCGCAAAAGGGCAGTTTCAAAATCATAACAAAAATGGAAAAGTTTAGTAACTATATGTTACTATAACTACAACTATATGTTACTAAATTCTAAAATGCCAGCTAATTAAATAGACCAAAAGAACAGTTTGTGTAAATCACTAATAGTAAATGGTACATGTACAATAGAGGAAATCATGCATAGGTGTTTTCTGCAAAACCTGTATATCTATATCAGAAAAAATGTCCATTTATGCTGTTAGTCAATTCCAACAAGTCACTTAGCAAGAAATCAATGTTCAATATAAGCTCTACTATAACTGAATCATACCAATACAAAGAAGTCTTACAAAACAAGAATTCTTTTGCCCTTGTATACTCTAGCTCTTTTGTCTCATACTTTACTTTAAAACTTTTAAAAATTAGTTTGGGAGCATGGGGGGCAGGCGGGAGGATGGAAGTGGAGAGAGAGGAGGGAAGGGGAGTGGGAAAAAAAGTATAGCTCAATAAAAAAAAAAGGGTGTGTGTATGTCTGTCTGTCTGTGTCTGTGTGTCTGTGTCTGTGTGTTTGTGTATGCAAAGATGAGAGGACAACTAGGAGGGGGCTGTTCTCTCCTTCCATTGGAGACTGAATTCTGGTCATCAGGCTCAGCAGTGGAGCTTTTATGCACTGAGCCCACACACTTTATTTTAAGAGGGCACTGTACAGGCCAGGTACAGTAATTATCAGCCTATATAAATGCAGACATGTGGGAGGCTGAGGTAGAAGGGTCAGAACTTCAAGACAGCCTGGGATTACATAGAAACACTGACTCCAAGAAAAGAGCACTGTAAATGATTACCAAAAAGGGCAGAGACTAGGGGAGAAGAAGATGGTTAGAAGAAAATGTTCACATTAGATGAAAATCAATTACATTAGATGAAAATCAACTACATTAGATGAAAATCAATTACTGAAAATTTTTATGTCCCATTGAGAAAAAAAAAGTTGGGTAGAGAGATGGCTCAGCAGTTAAGAGCACTGGCTGGTCTTCCAGAGGACCTGGGTTCATATCCTAGCACCCACATGGCAGCTCACAACTGTCTGTAACTCCAGTTCCAGGGGATCTGACACTCACACAGACATATATACAAGCAAAAATAATAATAATAATAATAATAATAATAATAATAATAATAAAATAAACAAAAACCATTAAATAATTACAAAAACACCAAGAGAAAAGAAAGTTGGATTTGGAGGAACGCTATACATAGACACAGGTTTCCAATATTACTTGGGGATGGGGGGGAAAAAGATTGGCCGAGACCCTGGAGGAATAACTGGTGAACTGATTCTTTGCTACACTGGTACTTCCTATTAAGACCCATATACGTTGATACATGCCATAAGGAAGCTGCCTAGAGAGCAGAGTGCCTATTCCTCTCTGGATCTTCCATGCTATTAATACTACTCTTCACAGATAGCAGCATTTCTTTTTTTAAATTAGACTAGTGTTTCTTCAGATCTAATAAAAATACAAGTACTATAAACAATAAGCAGAGCAAAGGTCATTTTTTTTAGTCATTTTTATCCAGTGGTTCAATCTTTTTAAACATTTTGCTCATTTAAAAAAAAAAATTCAAAAAAACCTTTGAGATCCAGACAAGGACCCTTCTGGTCTTTTTCTCATCAGATCTCAACACTGGTCTTGGAGGTCAGAAAGAAGTAAAAGTACACTGAAGCTAGCCTCACAACGATCAAGTCTGGTATAGAGCATAGGTCCAGATTCAAACAGGTCTGACTGCTCTTTATAAGACAGGATAAGTTGACAATTAAAAGAGAAATGGGAAGTTCTGGGCAGCTGTAGCAATGGTTGACTACATACCTGAGACACTTCTTGTCCTCATTGAGAGGATTTTTGTTTGTTTCTGGCTTACTTGTTTTTAGCTGGATAACCAATAAAGGGGGCTTGTCTGTGATCAATGTCTGTAGTTAGAAACAGGAGGGAATGAAGCTCCATAAGCAGAAGCTTTTGGCTAATGTTGTATCATTTATGTACGTGTAACTGGATCAATAAAGACTGTTTTGGAAAGAAAATATAGATGAGGAGAAATAAAAAGATGCCTGTAGTCCCATACTAACCAGTACAGACATTTGAATATGCCCTTCCATTCTTTTCAGATATAAAATATGAATTTATTTCTTTAACAAAGTGAGACGTGATATAATTTTTAAGCATCCCAAACACAACTGGCAGAATTTGTTTTTCAATCTGAACGCTATCAGCAAAATTTTTTAATGTTCTCAATAAAAAAAAGTATTGTTATAGGTCTAACATCACTCCTATATATGCTAATAAACTATACACATACATTAAAGTAGTAGACCATCCTAGTTAAACTACTGAAGATCAATTTCTCAATTAAAAAAATTTAATACTTTTTAACTTCTAAAACTGTATCAAACATTTAACACTGTGTGGTAGCTTGAATGAAAAGGTGCCATAGGCTCATAGGGAATGGGACTATTAGGAGGTGTGGCCTTGTTGGAGGAAGTTGTCACTAGGGGTGGGCTTTGAGGTTTCATTCTTCCTGCTGCCTGCAGACCTAGATATGGAACTCCCACTCTTTCTCCAGCACCATGTCCACCAGTGTGTCACCATGATGACGATGGACAATTGTGAAACTGATCTTTGGCAGTGGAACTAGTATGGTCTACTACTTTAATGTATTTATATAGTTTACAGGCCCTAAAACTCTGGACTGTGAGCCAAATCCGATTAAATGTGTGCCTTGTAAGAGCTGCCATGGTCTCGGTGTCTCTTCACAGCAATAGAAACTGAAATACCTTTACCACTAAAGGCAAAACTCAGAATCAATTCACTCTCTTTAAGGAGACATGCACATTGAGAAACCTTACCTGTAAGATCATCGTTTGCTTTATCTACTTCAGATAACTGAGTGTAATTTTGGTTTCTTTCTCCTTCTAAGGCTTTTAAAGAAGCACTTAACTTAAAGAAAGAAAGAAGAAAAGCAATAATCAGTTACACAAAAGACACACACATCCCTGATACACCCCACACTACAGTTCTGCAGGTATTTTCCCTCTGATGATGTTATCACAGACAACATAAAGCCATCAGTCAAGCTGCAAAACAGCCTTCACACTACATTATCAGGGCTTCTCACACAGATTAGCTAAGAACAGGCAGAAGGAATAAACCAGAAGAAAACAAAGTGATTATTTAGTTCTCAAAATAGTATATGGAGCCATCAGGGTAAGAAAGTAACAAAACCAGAAGGAGAACACTGCAAAGGGAACTATAATATAAATACATTAACATTTTTGAAGTATTTTTACAGAAGGAATGAGTGTAGAATTTGAACTTTTCTAAATTCCCTAATTATTTAAATTTCTAAAGTTAATATAAAAAGCAATTGATAAAGAAAATTCTAGGGGCTGGAAAGATGGCTCAGAGGTTAAGAGCACTGACTGCTCTTCCAGAGGTCCTGAGTTCAATTCCCAGCAACCACATGGTGGCTCACAACCGTCCGTTATGAGAACTGGTGCCCTCTTCTGGTGTGCAGATATACATGGAAGCAGAATGTTGTATACATAATAAATAAAATCTTTAAAAAAAAAAAAAAAAGAAAGAAAAGAAAAAAAAATTTTAGGGGTTGGAGAGACAGCTCAGTGGTTGCTCTTCCTAGGAAGCAGGTTCAACTCTCACCACCCACATGGCATCTCTCACAACTGTCTGTAACTCCAGTTCCAGAGAATCTGACACCCTCACAAAAACATGCATGTTGGCAAAAACCAATGCATGAAAAATAAATAAATTAAAGAAAATTCTAATCATTTCTCATATAACCTTAAGAAAGCATAAAAGCAATCTTTAAATTAGTTACTAAGGACAGACAGATTTAATCTCTGCTGTAGGTCCTCCTACTCCTCATTTTTATATTTACATAATAATACAAACCTTAGTAGCATAAATTAGCTTCTTCAAAGCTCCCTTCGGCTGGTTACCTACAGGGAAAAATAAAACCATAATTATCGAAGACATCCAAATGAATGCATTAATTCCTCAGCTAGTCTTACAAACCCTCTTCAAGACACAATAAGCAACTTGGAGCTCAGCTTAGCAGCTCTTGCCTACAATCTCACTTCAAAGCTGAGACAAGGGAATTACCATGAGTTTGAGGCCAGCAGGGGCTACACGGTGAATTCCAGCCCAGGTTGACCTACAGTGAGACACTGTCTCAGAAAAACAGTAATTAAAATAAAAATAGCAATTTATATGAGGTGGAGTGACCTACACTCAAGAAGCTAGACTTTTAAAACAATTTAATGTACTACAAAGTCCCAACAAAAACAGAATATTCACCTAAACACTGTCCATGGACTTAACTATTAGTGAACCATGGCTCCAACATCCAATATATTAGTGAACCATGGCTCCAAATGAAGTAATATTAAACATGAATTCTATTAAAAAACTATTTCTTACATGATAAATTTAAATGAAAAAATACAAATATAACTTTTATTAAAGCTCCCCTTATCTATTTCAGGAGCAGTGTGTCCATCTGTCTGAAATGCCATGCACTCTGACCATCTCATTTAGCTAGAATTTTGAGTAAATCTTTCACCTCTTCAGAGTTGTAGCCTCTCTCTCCTTTGCCCTATGTATCATACTTCTCTTCATTACAACAACTTAAAAATTTGCATAACTACTGTGGTGCCTTTTTTTTTTAACTAATCTTGTGGGCATAAGAATAACTAATTTGTGAAGCCCTTTGCATTAGACAGATTATAGTAAGTTAACCTTGACCACCATTAATTGTTACTGCAGTTGCTGGTTAGAGTATGGCTGTCACAAATGTCACAAAACTAAGATCCATTGAGCTATTTACTGTATTTTCAAACCAATTCCTCACTAAAACTTTTTGTTTGTTTTTTGAGACAAGATTTGCTACGTGAGCCGAGCGTTGGTGGCGCACGCCTTTAATCCCAGCACTCAGGAGGCAGAGGCAGGCAGATCTCTGTGAGTTCGAGGCCAGCCTGGTCTACAAGAGCTAGTTCCAGGACAGCCTCCAAAGCCACAGAGGAACCCTGTCCCGAAAAACCAAAAAAAAAAAAAAAAAAGATTTTCTATGTGTAACAGCCAAGTACAAGTGACCAAGGAGCACGACACACATGAAGAATGAAGAGGAAACAAGGAGCCAGTCTCCATACCTAAGTGCACATCATTTTCTAAGTCACTCTTGACTTCTAAATCAAGATTACCATCATCTGTTACATCTTCTCCAAACACAGAAGTCCAATCTTTCATCTTTAGCAGGCTCTCCATCAGAGACTGGATATTGAATAAAAGAAGAAAATAAAAAGAGAAAGTAATCACTCAGTCAAATAGCTTTACAATTTAAAACTTAATTAACAGTAATTTAAAATTCAATCCAGAGCCAATGAGATGGTTCAGCAGGTAAAGGCATTTGCCACTAGGCCTGTTGATCTGAGTTTGAACTCGAGAACCAACATGGTAAGAGAAGGGCCTCCCAAAAGCTGCCTTCTAAACTCCGTACACATATCATGGAAGGTACATACCACACAAATTTTTAAATCAATCCACATAAATAATTTTCATATGCTCTAATTTTCTACCTGCCATTAAGATACATAAAGTTGTTTTTTTTTGTAACTGCAACATTTATAGACTATTAAACCTTAAAAATAAAAAACAAAACTTGCTGAGGATGATACATCTTTTATCACAGCACTCAGAAGGGAGAGGCAGACATATCTCTGTGAGTTTGAGGCCAGGCTGATATACAAAGTGAGTTCTGGTAAGAAAGGACTACCTCGTGAGACCCTATATCCAAAAAGAAAGGAAAGAAGAAAGGGAGGGAGGGAGGGAAGGAGGGAAGAAGGCAGAGAGGGATGGGAGGGAAAGAAAGAGAGAAAGGGAAGGAAGGAAAGAGAGAAAACAAAATCAAACAATATTTTATGATGGTTCGTTCTTGCTAACCACTATATGACTACAAAAGAGTAAAGTATTTTCTTCTGTGTCATCTGCCCCTGAGTGTGCAGGGGCACATCCGGCTGCAAAAGCATGAGGCAGGAAGACACAAGTGTCTTCTCTCACACTCTAGCTTACGGCTTGGAGACAAGACCTCTCATGGAATCAGAATTCCACTACTTCAGAAGCTTAGGCTCTCAACAAGCTCTGGGATCCACTGTCTCTGTCCCCAGTGCTGGGGCTTACAGGCATGTACAGCCTTGCTCATCTTTTAAGTGGGTGCTTAGAATTCAAACACAGGTCCTCATGCTTCAGAGCAAGTGCACTAACCCATTAAACCATCACAGCAGCCCCTAAAATATTTTCTTATGGCGTTTCTTCCATATCTTACTAAGTAAGAGTTGAACTGGAGAGACAGCTCAGCAGTTAGGCACTTGTTACTCTGCTAGAGCATCTAACCTCCTTTCCCAGCACCCATATCAGGCAGCTCACAGCAGCTTGTAACTCCAGCTCCAGGAGATCCAATGGTCTCTTCTGGCCTGGGTGGGTATCCACAGGGTGGCCTTTAACATATAGGGTAAAAGCTGTGTGGTGTCTCATCTATCTGAGAGATACAAAAGCTATGAAGATGTATGAATATCTATAAAAAGATCATAGACACCTTGGCACTGCACTCCCAGGCTCATACCTACACATGGACACATACAGATACACACTAGTTAAAAAAATGAACATCCCTCTGGAGAGAAGGCTCAGCAGGTAACAGCACACACTGTCTTGCAGAAGGCCCAAGTTCAATTCCCAGCACCCATATCCAACAGTTCTCAACTCCCTGTAACCTCAGCTGCAGGGACTCCAACACTTCTGCTTTCTGAGGGGAGGGAAACTCACACGCACAGACCCACAAAAAATAAGCCATAGATTCTTGATTTATTCAAGGAAACAACTAGCTGGAGAGTCCAACTGAGACAGACAGACACATTGTAAAAGGATTGGAATGGAGCCCTGGAAGTTCTCCAACTGTGTTTTTGCTGCTGTTGCTTTTTGAGACAGTCTGACCATATAGCCCTGGCTGGCCTGGAGCTCAGACACATCTGCCTGCCTCCCAGTGCTAGGACTGAAGGTGTGCACACCATGCCTGGCTCAGCAGTGCTGTTTTAATCTCCTGAAGGAAAGAGTATTTTCTAGTAACACAGGTAACGTTGCTTCTGAGCCTACTGACCAAAACCAAGTGTGATGTACAAGTAACAAGATGACTGTGCACCATGCCTTTCTCTGGAAGATTCCCATCTGAAACTACTTGCTAATCTCTTCCCTTTCTTCAAGGCTTCTGGAAAAACAAAAATGCCCTCCAACCCTGAGCAGTGCTGAGGTCTCACATCCCATTCCTTTTTACTTAGGAAGAACCCTGAGCTTCCAAGTAGAATAAGGAAGTTAGAGGAAGGAAAACACAGTCATCCCTCGGCATCCACATTGCACTGCTCCAGGATACCTGTCACTACCATTGCATGAAGACAAACTGCATGGGTGTTCACGTCCTTTACATCAGATAGCAGTGCTTGCATATAACCTATATGTATCTTCATGTACACGTCAAATCCTCCTAGACGACTTGCAATAACGAATGCAACACAAACGCTGCATTAACAGTTACAGGGAATGAGAGGAAGTCTGCACATGCACAGTACACAGGCCATTATTTTCTTTTATTTATTATTAGTGTTTGTTTTGGTATGTCT